CCTTCTTTTTCCCTCCCTCCCTCCTTCTTCTCTCCCTCCCTCCTTCCCTCTCTCTTTTTTTCTTTCTTTCCTTCCTTCCTTCCTTCCTTCCTTCTTTCCTTCCTTCCTTCCTTCCTTCCTTCCTTCCTTCCTTCCTTCCTTCCTTCCTTCCTTCCTTCCTTCCTTCCTTCCTTCCTTCCTTCCCTCCCTCCCTCCTTCCTTCCTTCCTTCCTTCCTTCCTTCACTCCCTCCTTCCTTCCTCTCTCCCTCCCTCTTTTCCTTACTTTCCTCCCTCCCTCCCTCCTTCACTTTCTTCCTTCCCGAACACAGGACCATAGAGCTAAAAACTTGAGCAATGTGCATATTGATCAAAATGATTATCCACATTAAAAAGACCACTAATGCATTTTTTTTTTTGGAAATTAATATTTCTAGTCCAGCCAACCGTTGAGGCTCTCAGTTCTCCCGAATATCATTTGGAGACCCCCCCCAAGACCCAACCCATAGAAAACCCACAACGGTTTCTTAAAACCTGCAGCTGTTCCCATCCCCAGGTGTCCCCCCCTGTACATAACTCTTATGTCAATCCCGAACTCACCACGGACAAGGCAAGGAGGGAATCAAACCCCCTCCCAAAGAAGACATCTGGGCGAGGTTTTCAAGGGCAACGGGGGGTGGGGGGTGGGGGGTAGAGAAAGAAGCCGTTCCCACTGCCCTTATCAGTCTTTCAGAGCTGAAGGAAGCTGGCAGTCTTGCTCTACCTCCCACGGCTACTTCTAATTGTCCCCCCCCCAGGGCAAATGAAAAGGACGGGGCAGGAGATAATGAACAGGTGCTTAATGTTGGATTGGCCACCGAGAGAGATTCCTGGTGCCAGCAACACCGCATAACATTCAGATACTCATCACTCCCTTTGGCCTGGCTTGCGGTCTTTGGACCATAAAGTCTCTTTGTTGCCTTCTGTGGCCAAGTTGAGTTGGTATCCTCTCCCCTGTCTTTGTTTATTTATTAATTCTCCACATTAACACAGTTTACTAAGCTCCCCGCGCTGAGGCATTGATCAGCTATCTACCTTCCCCTCCAATCTGGCGCATTACTCAGTCCTTTCCCCCCCGAAGGCACGTGGGCAAGCCTCCTCTCTCGTTGGGATGGTTGCCCGCTAGATCTATCTTCCTGAATTTTTTTTTCTTTCCCCCCCTCCCCATTGGCTTCTCTCTCAGTCCATGTCTAGCAAAACTCCATCCAGCCTGGAGCGGAAGGCCTTAGAAAAGCAATAATAATCCCCAAGCTTCCAACACTGCGGACGCAGTCCATAAATCACGGTTGAGGGTTTTAGTCCTAGGTGAACTTTTGGGTGGGTGGGTGGGTGGGTTGGGACCGTCCTGGCGATGAGATGGCCAGGCGGAGGGGCGCAAGGCTGCAGGTGTGGTACTTTGTCAGACCAGACAACTGAGCTTGTCACTTTCCTGGCCCGTTGCTCAAGTGATGCGTTTGCAAGGACTAATTGAAATGGCATTCGCTCTTATTTTTTTCGGTTGCATATCAGGTTGCAGATTCTGGACTCGCTGGCTGCCTGTAAATCTTCTATTTTCCAAGCTGGCTTGGCATTGCTTTCTTCTTCCTCCTCCTCCTCCTCCTCCTCCTCCTTCTCCTTCTCCTTCTTTTTTTCCTACGGAATATTTGCATGGCTTTCCCCCCTGCTTTGTTCTTGCACTTGTCATTTTATACATCTGAAGTCTCCCCCTGTGGCTTGAATGCTTGCTAACACTGTGCAGAATTTGGGATCGGATTCCTCCGAGGTGGCGCTTTGCAACACTGGAAAGTGCACAGGTCTTTATCTGCACGTAACCTTTCGATTCCTTTTCCCCCTGGGTGGGTCATTGCGACATCCCAGGGAGAGATCCAGCTGTTTTGTAGGTTTTCACATGCCGCCTCTTTTCGCTTGGTGTTCTCCAGGCTTAAAGGGAACACCAACTAAAAGAGGGTACAGTGGATCTCTGCTACTGTGATCTCAATGCTTGACACATTCTCTTGACCAGGAGTCTTCAAACTTGGCCCTTTTATGACTGGTGGACTTCAACTCCCAGAATTCTGGGAGTTGAAGTCCATAAGTCATAAAAGGGCCAAGTTTGAAGACCCTTGCTTGTGGACTTCAACTTCCAGAATTCCCCAGCCAGGCACTCTGGCTGAGGAATTCTGAGAGTTGAAGTCCCCAAGTCCTAAAAGGGCCAAGTTTGAAGACCCTTGCTTGTGGACTTCAACTCCCAGAATTCCCCAGCCAGGCATGCTGGCTGAGGAAATGCTGGGAGTTGAAGTCCACAAATCATAAAAGGGCCAAGTTTGAAGACCCTTGCTTGTGGACTTCAACTCCCAGAATTCCCCAGCCAGGCATGCTGGCTGAGGAAATGCTGGGAGTTGAAGTCCACAAGTCATAAAAGGGCCAAGTTTGAAGACCCTTGCTTGTGGACTTCAACTCCCAGAATTCCCCAGCCAGGCATGCTGGCTAAGGAATTCTGGGAGTTGAACTCCACAAGTCCTAAAAGGGCCAAGTTTGAAGACCCTTGCTTGTGGACTTCAACTCCCAGAATTCCCCAGCCAGGCATGCTGGCTGAGGAAATGCTGGGAGTTGAAGTCCACAAGTCCTAAAAGGGCCAAGCTTGAAGACTCCTCCTCTTGACCATCCAGAACATTTAACTCCGCATCTCCAAGACTATGATCCATCACCTGCAGGCCCTTTAGGATTGATTTCAGGTGCTGTCGGTGACCCGGAGGGGACGAAACGTGTTCCTTTCCGTGTACAGTTTCCATCCGAGACACATGCACAATCTGGAACGGGATGGCCCCGAGCAAACCTTAGCCTGTGATTTAATGGAGTTGTCTTGGGATCAGAGACGGTAATATATAACAGCTTTTGGAAAGGGATCAATCCCTCCGCTCCATCAGGCTATTATTTACCCTTGGCATGACTTTTCCCCCCCCTTTCGTACTGCATCATCGCTCCAACCCAAGGGATCACTTTTATTCTCGTTTTTAACGGCTGGTTAAAAAGAAAAAAAGAGAAGAGAAGAAAAAAGAGAAGAGAACTTGGAGTTTCTTAGAGGTCACTCGGCCATTGGCTGCACCGATCTGCTGATTCTGTCTCGCTAAACAGCAACGGAGAGCAATGGGAAGAGCGAGGCAGCCTTGCAATTCTGAGAAGCCCAGAGAGCGGGGCGTTTCATTTGATAGCCTGGTCCTTTTCGCCCTGTGCCCCTCCCACCTCGCTGACTCCTAACCTAAGTCTGGTTTTAATTACCTCTGTGGGTTGGAGAGTCCCCGTGCTCCCTGATTATTGCTTCTTAAAATTTTTCTACAACCCACACTTGGCTGGAAGGCAGGATGCCACCTCCGGATGGGTTGCTCCACCCCGTTGCAGCCCGTTGGCGTGGGGGCAGACACCTGCCTTTCTTTCTCCAGCTGTCAGTCTCTGCCTGGCTACTTGTTACTTCCCAGCCCGGATTGGTGTGGGAGGCTGTCCAGTTTTCCCTTCTTGTTCTTGGGCTGGGCTATCTGGTCTTTCCAAGGCTCTGGAAATTGCCCCCCCCCCACACACACACACAGTGTCAAAGTTTGCCTTGCATTTTGGGGAAAACCACCTGGATTGGACCAGCAATGGTCTTCAAGAAGGACTTTAGAAAAGGGAGGGTTACAGTCTGCCCCCCTCCCCCCCAGCTTCCAGAATATCCAGTAGGGAATCCTGGGGGGCAACTGTCCCAGCAAATCTGGACGAGGCCAGAAAAAATAGAGTAGAGTAGAGTAGAGTAGAGTAGAGTAGAGTAGAGTAGAGTTAATAGAATAGAATAGAATAGAATAGAATAGAATAGAATAGAATAGAATAGAATAGAATAGAATAGAATCTGGTAGGGATCTTGGAGGTCTTCTAATCCAGCCCACTGCTCAAGCAGGGGACCCTATACCATTCCAGAAAAATGGCTGTCCAGTCTCTTCTTAAAAACCTCCAGTGATGGAGCACCCACAATTTCTGAAGGCAACTGCTGTTCCACTGGTTAATTGTTCTCACTGTTAGGAAGTTCCTCCTTAATTCCAGGTTGCTTCTCCCCTTGGTTAGTTTCCATCCATGGTTTCTTGTCTTGCCTTCTGGTGCTTTGGATAATAGATTGACACCCCCCCCCTTCTTTGTGGCAGCCCCTCAAATACTGGAATATTCCTATCATGGGTCCCCTAGTCCTTCTTTCCTCTAGACTAGCCAAATCCTGCCACCGTCCTTCATATGTTTTAATCTCCAGGCCTTTAATCATCCTAGTTGCTCTTCTCTCTGCACTCTGCATTCAACCTCTTTGCTGGAATGTGGTGAGCAAAACTAAGGCATGTGTCAAATGATGCCTTTGCTTTCTCTCCTCTGGTCAGTCTTATTCTTCCTCCCCTGCTGGAATTGCACTAGCCCCTCCGAGGAGGAGAATACGGGCCCTTTTCCCTCCCTTTACAAGCAAACATTCCTGTTTGTTTAAGGCTTAAACCATCCAAATTGGGATTGGGGGGAAAAGAACGGCTTCTTTTTGTCTTCCTCAACTGGCGAGGAGAAAGCTGGGAAGCGTCCGATTATCTGCTTAACTCCAGGTCCTTTTAGATGTGCAATCGCGGGGCTCGAATCGATTCTTCACACTAATTAGCTCATCAGGATGTGGATCATACATAGTTGAGTTTTTCTCTGTTTTGAAGCTTCAGGGAAGGGAAAGGAAGGGTGTGGGTCTCCCCACCGCCCGGACATTGTGTCCCGTCCGCCAACGTTAAATTCCACCAACTTAAAAGGGACCCGATCCAATTTACGAAGGGCGAAGTTCACGTTTGGTGGGAACTCAGTGGGCCGAAGAGATGGGGATGATTGTTTCCTCGGCATATTTTTCTCGCTTTGCGCCTTAACCCCTTGAGGTCTCCTCTGAGGTTGACAGCGATGTGGGCAGCGTTAATTCTTCTCTCCCCCCCCACCCTCCTCTTTTTTCTCCCCTTCTCTTTCTCCACAGGGCAGCACGTTGAGAAAACGGAAAATGTATGAAGAATTTTTGAGCAAGGTGTCCATTTTGGGTGCGTAATTTTTTTCCCTCCAAGGAGCTGGACGGTTTCCTTCGCTGGGATTCAGCCCGGGCAAAACCAGACAATAAAACCTGGGGATAGGGTGGTGGTGGGAGAGGTCCACCATAAGCACAAGGGTCCCAGTGGAGCTTTAAGTCTTAAAAGGAGGGGGGGGGAAACCATCTGGTTATGGTTTGTTCTAGGATTGTAGTATGGTGGAACGGCGGTAGGGAGTATCAACCAGTTGCTCTTTCATCCCTTAGGATCTCTGGACAAATGGGAGCGCCTGACGGTGGCCGATGCACTAGAGCCGGTCCAGTTTGAGGATGGAGAGAAAATTGTGGTCCAGGGGGAGCCGGGGGACGATTTTTTCATCATCACAGAGGTAAAGCCTGTGGCTCTCATGCCAATCTCTTTCCCAATCTCTATGCCCTCAAACGACATGGCCTTCTCCTCAATGTAGCCGTAGCCAGAATGCTTTTACTACTGTTGGTTACCAGTTATGATTGCAAACCTTAGAAGGACAAGACACCCATGGAGACCTCTCTCTCAGTCACCATTGGTACTGACAGTCCCCCCCTTTCTGTCTGCTCCTCCCTCCCTCTCCCTCTCTAACTTCTCTGTCTACCTGCCTGCCTACCTGCCTGTCTGTCCATCCATCATCTGTCTCTGTCTCTCTCTGTCTCTCTCTCTACCTATCCATCCATCCATCCATCATCTCTCTCTCTCTCTCTCTCTCTCTCTCTCTCTCTCTCTCTCTCTCTCTCTCTCTGTCTCTGTCTCTGTCTCTCTCTCTGTCTCTCTGTCTGTCTCTCTCTGTCTCTCTACCTATCTATCCTCTTGCTAGCTATTATCTATTAAATAATATATATCCATCTACTATCATCTATTGTTAAATAATCTCATCTATCAATCTATATATCTATTTTTTATCTCTCTATCTCTCTATCTATCTATCCATCCATCCATCTATCATCTCTCACCCTCTCTGTCTGTCTGTCTGTCTGTCTGTCTCTGTCTCTGTCTCTCTCTCTCTCTCTCTCTCTCTTTGTCTCTCTCTCTGTCTCTCTCTGTCTCTCTCCTCTCAATCTCTCTCTCTCTCCTTCGCTCACCTGTGTTCCCCTCTGTCTTCTACCTCTCTTCTTCTTGACCAGGGATCTTCAAACTTGGCCCTTTTACGACTTGTGGACTTCAGCTCCCAGAATTCCTCAGCCAGCGTGCCTGGCTAAGGAATTCTGAGAGTTGAAGTCCACAAGTCGTAAAAGGGCCAAGTTTGAAGACCCCTGCTCTTGACTCAAGGTTTTTGCTTTTTATTATATTATGCGTTCCGTAATGCGTAGACTCTACAAAGCAAGATGGGTTTTGTGCCTCCGGCTGAACAGCTTCGTCCCGCAAAGAATCCTGGGACTTGTAATTTCTTCAGCCATGGAGAAATCTCCAGGAGGGACACTTAACCTCACTCCTGTGTCATGTAAAATTCCCAGGGCTGCCTGAAGAGGAGATGAATGATTGATAGTCTCATTTTAAGTTTCCAAGGAAGGAAAGATGCTGGTTGACAATCCGTAGTCCAGTTTTTTCTTTTTGTGTTATTTCTGGTTCTCCTCTCGGTTTGGGGCTACAGCTTAAAGGCTCGTTTCAGGATGATTTACAACCATAACATGCCAAGAGAATTTAGTGTTCTGGGCTGAAACACCAGGGAGTCTACTTGTTTCCCATAAAATAGTATATTCACCAGCCTGCTTGCTTCCTGAGAGTCGTATCGGACCTGTCATACAGGGAAGAGACGTTAAGAAGTCGGGCAGGGCAGAGCAAAGAACGAAGCTGCCAAGAGGATCCAGCTGTGAATGGCCTCTGTGCTAAAATAGTCTTCCCTGGAGCCTCTTCAGCCCGTTGCGTTCTGTTGGGCCCGCTTGTACCGTCGTAGTTCGGCCCTTTGGTGGCACCAGCGCAAAAGAGGCCGAAGTCCTTTTGCAACGAAGGGGTGCAAAAACAGACAGCTGCAATGTTGACCCCAGCCTCCCTCCAATATTTTTTTTTTCTCAGGTTAATATGGACAAAGCGTTGCGTTTGTCCGAAATTGCGCTCTGGGTCCATCTGAACAGATCAGGCACGGAGTCTGCCTGTTATGTCACCCCAAAAAGGTGCTTTTTCAAAATGCAGCTGGACTTTCTGGTGTGTGTGTTTTTTTTCCTTTGAAAACATCTAGCTCAGGGGTAGTCAACCTTGGCTCTTTTATGACTCTTGGACTTCAACTCCCAGAATTCCTGAGCCAGCTAAGCTGGCTCAGGAATTCTGGGAATTGAAGTCCACGAGTCATAAAAGAGCCAAGGTTGACTAACCCTGATCTAGCTTCTCATTCAAGAAGCCTCTGCAATGATGACTGGAGACCCAGGCTGGCGGGGGATTTCTGGGGGTTGAAGCCCACAAGTCATAAAAAGTCGCCAGGTTGGGAGACCCCTGACCCTAAATCACAGTCCAGGCAGTCTTCAACTCACGACTGTTCGTTTAGTGACCGTTCCACGTTACGACGGCACTGAGATGACCCGTTTTTCACACTCAATGATTTTTGTAGCATCCCCGCGCTCGGGTGATCGAAATTCAGCCGCTTGGTCACTGGTTCACGCTCAAGGCCGTTGCAGCGTCCCTGGGATCACGTGATCCCCTTTTGCGACCTTGAATTGAGCTCCATTGTGGTCGTAACTGGAGGACTAGCTGCAAACAGAAATGGTTTGAACGGCGCCCGTTCCTAAAGACCGTCCCGGAGTTCGCTTGGTTTGAAGAAAGCTGGGGATGGGAGTTGATTTTTTTTTTTGGTTTTCTTCTCCACCCCACACCCCCGAAGTCCCTGTCATCTTTCTCTGCCTTCACACATATCCGAGATCCCCTTTCCCACCCTGCTTTTCCCTCAGCTCCAGGTTTTCCCAGACTGGGCAGATGTGGAATGCATCTGGTGGATTTTCGAGGTCACGGATTTATCCCGTTTGAGATTCCTGGCACTGGGGCTTAGGGCTTTAAGCTCTGCGCAGGGACTGTTGCCATGAAGAATTACGATTTGGCAGGGCGACGCTCGGCAGATGCGCCGTTCCACAATAACAAATGTGTAGCCATATCATAAACTGTGCTGCGTGCTTGGGGGAGCTTTGCCTTTTGGGTTTCCTCAACTTTTGTGGTGTGTGTGTGTGTGTGTGTGTGAAGGCACTTGTTTTAAAGAGGCAGGCTGGGATTTCTCTATTTTTCCAATCCAGCCTCCAAGAAGTATTTGTCAAATGTTTAGACCAGGGATCTTCAAACTTGGCTCTTTTATGACTTGTGGGCTTCAGCTCCCAGAATTCCTGAGCCAGCATGGCTGGCTTAGGAATTCTAGGAGCTGAAGCCCACAAGTCATAAAAGGGCCAAGTTTGAAGACCCCTGGTTTAGACCATTTGTCTAAAATGGCCCAGGGTCTCCTGCTTGAGCAGGGGGTTGGACTAGAAGACCTACAAGGTCTCTTCCAAGCCTGTTATTTTGTTCAGCGTTCCAGTATTTGAGGGGCTGTCACAAAGAAAAGGGGGTCCACTTATTCTCCAAAGCGCCTGAAGGCAGAAAAAGAAGCAACGGATGGAAACTAATCCAGGAGAGAAGCAACCTAGAACTAAGGAGAAACTTCCTGACAGTGAGAACAATTAACCAGTGGAACAACCTGCCTCTAGAAGTGGTGAATGCTCCAACACTGGAAGTTTTTAAAAAGAGACTGGAGAGACACTTGTCTCAAATGGTCTAGAGCAGACATGTCAAACTTGCGACGTCACGTGACGTCGCGCAACGTGTCGGGCCGGTTTTGCCATTGCCGGCAATGGGGTGGGCGTGGCTTCCACGTGACACATGCGGCCCGTGGCAGTTTGACACCCCTGGTCTAGAGCCTTCTGCTTGAGCAGGGGGTTGGACTAGAAGACCTCCAAGGTCCCTTCCAACTCTGTTATTCTGTTAAAGTAAAATACTCGTAAACTAGAATGGACTTACTAAAAATGGGAAGAAAGAAAGAAAGAAAGGAAAGAAAAAAAGAAAAGAGAAAGAAAGAAAAGAAAGAAAGAAAAAGAAAGAAAGAAGGAGGGAGGAGGGAGGAAGAGAAAGAAGGAAGGAAGGAGGGAGGGAGGAAGGGAAAGAAGGAAGGAAGAAAGAAAGAAAGAAAGAAAGAAAGAGAAAGAAAGAAAGAAAAAGAAAGAAAGAAAGAAAGAAAGAAAGAAAGAAGGAGGGAGGAAGAGAAAGAGAAAGAAGGAAGGAAGGAGGGAGGGAGGAAGGGAAAGAAGGAAGAAAGAAAGAAAGAAAGAAAGAAAAAGAAAAAGAAAGAAAGAAAGAAAGAAGGAGGGAGGAAGAGAAAGAAGGAAGGAAGGAGGGAGGGAGGAAGGGAAAGAAGGAAGAAAGAAAGAAAGAAAGAAAGAAAAAGAAAGAAAGAAAGAAAGAAAGAAAGAAAGAAAGAAAAAGAAAGAAAGAAAGAAAGAAGCCCAACTGACTTCAGAGCGTTGCTGCTGGAAGCAAAACCATAGAAGGGAGCCTTATCTATACTACCTTTCCTTATTAAAAAAAAAAAACCTGCAGCCGAAGAGCTAAGAGGTACAAGAGAAACCATGTGGCTGGGTTGGTCTCCCTTTCCCACTCCTTGCTGCTGCTTCTCGCATCTGCTGCTTGGGACAGCCTCTGGGCCGTGTGTGTGTCTCGTGGCCGAGAGCCCTCCGAGCCCAAAGACGCCAAAGCAGCCTTTCCATCACCTTCCTCCGTGGGATCCTTTATAACTGGAGATGCCAAGAATTAATGCAAGGACTTCTTTCTTTCTTTTGCTTTTTTCTTTTTTAAAGCTTTAGCCACCGAGTTGGAGGCTGGCTTTGTTTTGAACTTTTTTGCAAAGCACCTTGAGCTTATATCATGGAACAAAAGCTGGAAAGAAAGAAAACAAAAGGCCAGGAGGGAAGTGGGGGGATTAAAGAGAAGCTCAATCAGTCCCAACCCAGTTGGAGGAACTTCTAAGCTTCTGTCTTAAGGTCATCCGTGCCTCTCCTCATTTCCCGCCAGCTACCCTAAAGATGGTTAACTGAATGCGATACATATGGTTACTCCCTCTGTATTGAATTGTGGGTTTTTCCCCTTCTGAGTTGTAAAAAAAAAGGCCTGGTAGCAAGCAAGGTTTGGAGGGCCACTGAGATCTTCAGTGGATCTCAGTGGAGGCTAAAACATATAAGGAATGGTTGCTGGAATTGGGAATGTCTAGTTTAACGAAAAGAAGGACCAGGGGTGACATGATAGCAGTGTTCCAATATCTCAGGGGCTGCCCCAAAGAAGAGGGAGTCAAGCTATTCTCCAAAGCACCCGAAGGCAGGACAAGAAGCAATGGATGGAAACTAATCAAGGAGA